TCATTTCAAATGTACCATATATATATATATATATTCTGAGTTTTTTGGGGAAAAAATTTTAATTCTCTATAGAGCAGCTCTAAGTCAAAGACAATGTCTTACCTTTATATTTTTGGCACCTAGTCCTATGGCAAATACATAAATAATAATAGTAGTAGCCATTATTACAAACTAATGTTAACTATGTGCTAAACACTTTATTTTTTAAACACTTTAAATTAGTCACTTTATTTTCACATCACCATAATTACCTATGATCTCTACTAGAGTTTCTTCATCATTTTTATCATCATTCTCACACAGAAACTTGTTAAGCAATTTTTTCTGAATGTCCCATATGATATTGTTTTACCCCAGTCATGTTATATATCTATTTGTGCTGTTAGGTATGAAGTTAGAAGAGATATACAACATGGTAACATCTATGACACTTTAGCCCCCAAGAATCATTATTTGTCCATTGGAGACACTACCATTCTCTTGATGATATATTTTAGGATGGGAACTTAAGGCATAGAGGGGTCAAAGATTCATTCAACAATACACAGGTAAGAAAGGTCAAAAAAGTTGAATGAATAAAATAATAAATAACTGAATGGAAACATGGAAGGATGCATGATACAAACAACATTGTATTTCCTAAGCCAGAAGGCTAAAACACACTAAATATGCCAAAGATCAGGATTTTGTGGCCATAGAAAATACTCCAGAAATGCTTCTCTATTGTGTGAAATTAAAAATATATATATACTGTCCTTCATACTATCAAGTAATATACTATGCTGTTTATAAAAATATAAATGCTTACAGTCATTTCAAATGTAGATATTTGAGACAGAATAAAAGTATTGTCAAAATATTTAACAGATAAATTTTGTCCCTTGAATTATGACTGTCTTCTTGCAATGTTTTCCCACAGGTAGACTGTTTGTCCACGAGTGGGCCCATCTCCGCTGGGGAGTGTTTGATGAGTACAACAATGATCAGCCTTACTACGTCTCCAGTTCAAAAAAAATTGAAGCAACAAGGCATGACTACATTTTTTAAATGAGTTCAATCTGTAACGTATCTAATTTTTCTTCCTTTGACTTCCTTTAAGTGACAATATTTTTCTCCCAATGGAGATAATGGACTCTATATCGCAAAAAAGTATTTTTTAAGAAAAAAAATCTATTGTCTCTTAAGATACACAGCACTTCAAAAGCATTTGGAAGATAATTTAAATCTAATGTATCTTAAACTTGTTTACTATGGCTGCCAAAATTCATTTAGGCTGGAGCTGTGCACTATGTAAACTGACTTAGCAAAACATGCAAAGTTATTCCCATTACAATAATAAATAGCAGTAGCTAAGTACTGCTAAGTGGGAGCTGGATAAGAAATCAAGCAGCTTCATAAAGTCAACTAAGAACTTCTTGGCGACTTATAAAGGTCCTTTTAAGGCATCAGTCTAGCATCACAGTTAATAACAATAGGCCATGCTCTTAATTCTGAGATCAAGAGAGCAAAATGGCTCAGAGGATTCCACTTAAAAGTGAACAACATTCCCTGCTGAGGTTAACAGAATTGTCACTAACATGCAAACTATGAGGTGCATGATTTCAAGAAAGGCTATTCCTCTGCTCCATTGGACTAGTTTTCAGGGACTTTATTTATTTATTTATTTATTTGTTTATTTATTTATTTATTTATTTATTTTTATTTTAGGGAAGGGTCTACAGGGTGTTCAGGGTCTCACTACTACATCAGACTCATAGTGATCCACCTGTTTACAGCCTCCCAAGAGCTAGGATTACAGGAATGTATCACCATGCCCAGTCTCAATCGCCATCTCAGTACGCCCCAGGGTGGGGCTGGTATGGCAGGCCCGAGTGTGAACCCCTGGCCCCTGTGCCTGCTTGCAGGAGCTTTAATCTGCTGAGCTATTTGGCAAGCCCTAATTTTTTTTATTTCTTAAAGAGAGTACAAAATAATATTAAAACACAAAAATTACAAATGATACAGAATTTCACTTAACAAAATGCGAATTTCACAGTATTTCTAGTAATGAATAGTGTTGTCTTCCAACTAGTTGTTCATATTATCAGATATATGCATGCAAAATTGGAAAAAGAAAGAAATATGTAAGAAACTAAGAATACAAAAAGGGTGCAAGAAATGAAAAAAGAAGACAAAACAAATTAAGCATTAACTCCTTCTCACCATAGACCAGCAGAAATCCACAGTACAGTTGTCCAAACCATCCTGCTTATGTAGATATATCTCTTTCCCCCACTCCCTCTCCTGTCCTCCTTAACTCAGTAATTCCTTCCTTTTGAGTAGGTTCATTACTTCTTCCCAATATCTACTGTATCCTTGAGATTTCATTTTCTCTTTCAGGTTCTAACACTAAGGAGACAATGCAATGTTTGCACATGTGGATCTGATTTATTTCACTTAAGAGTATGTTCTCTAGTTGCATCCATTTACCAACAAAAGACTCAAATTTAACCTGCTTTATAGCAAAATAATATTCCATTGTGTAAAAATAGCACATCTTCTTTATTCATTCCTCAGTTGATGGGCATTTGGGTTGTTTCTAAGATATAGCTATGACAAATTGTGCTGCTATAAACATGGGTGCATATATATTGATGTAGTATCATTCTTTCAGTTCTTCTGGAAAAAATACCGCGGAGGAAACTAGCTGGCTTGAATGGGATCTCCAATCCTAGCTTTTCAAGGAATCTCCACACTGATTTCTGTAGTGGTTGTACCAGTCTGAACTCCTACCAACAGTGCAGAAGTGTTCCTTTTTCCCCATAGCCCGCCCCCCCCCAGCATTTGTTTTTGGCTGACTTCTTGACTTTAGCCATTCTTTCTGGAGTGAGAAGAAATATCAGTGTTGTTTTAATTTGCATTTCTCAAAGAACAAATGGTGTTGAACATTTTTTCATATATTTACTTGCCATTTGTATTTCATTTGAAAAGTGCATAATTCATCTCAGATGCCTCTTTTTGTATTGTGTCTTTGAATTAGGGGTCCTGATTTTTTTTTAATTCATTATATGTTCTAGACAGAAGGCCTTTGTCAGAGAGACAGTCAGCTATAATTTTTTCCCAGTTTGTGGGTTTTCTTTTTACTCTGTTGGAGATTTCCTTTGAAGCACAGAAACTGTTTAAAAAGATGAGATCTCAGTTCCTGATTCTTTGAAGTATTTCCCATGCAGTTTGGTTTTTGTTCATGGACTCTCTGCCAACCCCTATGTCCTTGAGATTTCTACCTATATTTTCTTCTAGATTTAGTGTTTCTTTTTTAACGTTTAAATCTTTGATAGATTTTAATTGTAGTTCAGGGCATGGTGATAGACATGAGCGCAATTTTAGTCTTCAGCACAAGGAAAGCCAGTTTTTCCAGTACTACTTATTAAACGGGCTATCTTTCTTTCCAGCAAACATGTTTGACCTTTATCAAAGATAAGGTGGATAAGTGTGTTTGTAGCTCTGTCTACATTTTCTGATCTGTTCCATTGATCCTGGGGTCTGGCTCAATGCCATTACTATGCTGATTTTATCATGATAACTTAATAGTATAATTTCAGGTCAGAGATTGTGAAACTTCCTGCCTTTCCTTTGTTTCCCAGGATTGCTTTTGATATTCTGGGTCTCTTCTGGTTCCAAATGAATTTGATGGAAGTTTTCTCTAGCTATGTGAGGTATACCAAATGGTATTTTAATTGAGATTACATTGAATCTGTATAAAAATTTTGGTACTATGGCCATTTTCATAATGTTGGTTCTTCTTATTCATTTTCTCAAATCTTCTTCAATCTTTTTTCTCAGAGTACAATAATTTTCACTGTATATAAATATTTTACTTCCTTTGTAAGATTCCTAAATATTTCATTTTTTGGATGTTATTGTTAAACAATAACTTCACTCTCCTTGTGTTCATTGTGCACAAAAATGCTACCGATTTTTGGGTGCTGATTTTGTATCCTACTACATTATTGACTTTGGTATTAAACCTACAAGACTCTTGGTGGGCTTTTGTGAGTCCTCTGAGTAGAGTATCATATCATCTGCAAATGATGGCAACTTCACTCCTCTTTTCCAATCATTATTCCTTTTATTTCATGCTCTGGTCTAATTGCTCTGGCTAATGTTTCCAGAACTATATTGAATAGGAGTGGAGATAGTGGATATCCTTGTCTTGTTCCTGATTTCAAAGTGAAGGCTTTCAGCATTTGTAAATTTATTATAAAGTTGGATGCTAGTTTCTTGTAGATGGCTTTTATCAGGTTGAAATATAGATCATCTATTCCAATTCTCTGTAGGGTTACCAGAAATGAGTGTTTCACTTTGTCAAAACTTTTTCTGCATCTATTGAGATAATCACGTGGGTTTTGTTCTTGGCTCTATTGATGTGGTGCATTACAGTTATGGATTTGCATGTGTTGAACCATCCCTGCATCTCTATGATGAATCCTACCTGGACATGTTCTATAATCTTCTTGATGATTTGCTGCATTTGTTTGCTAGTATTTTATTGAGGATTGCTGTATCTAAGCAATATTCATAAGTGAGATTGGTCTGTATTTCTCTTTTTTAAGTGGATCTTTCTCTGGTTTTGGAATGAGAGTAATACCTCGACAGAATTGCTTCCCTTTCAAATTCATTGAAGAGTTTGAGAAAGTTGGCACTAAATCTTCTCTAAATTTTGCAGAATTCAGCTGTAAATCTGTCAGGACCTGGGCTTTTCTTCCGTGGTAGGATTTGTATTACATTTTCAATTTCATTTCCCACTACTGGGTTATTCAGAGTTTGTATAACTTCTTGACTCAACTTTGGCATTTCATGTGCATCTAGGAAACTCTCCATTTCCTCTGTCTTTTCCATCCTGTGAGAGTAAAGATTTTGGAAGTAGGTATTGATCATCTTCTGAATTTCTCTAGGATCTGTAGTGATTTCACACTTTTCATTCCTTATTGCATGAATTTTTTTATTTTTTTCCTTTTTTTGATTAGGTGGGCCAGAGGTTTATCAATTTTTTTTATTCTTTCAAAAAACCAACTCTTTGATTCATTTATTCTTTGTATTGTATTGGTTTTTATCTCCATTGCATTAATTTCTGCTCTAATCTTTATAATTTCCTGCCTTCTTTGGAATTTGGGCTTGACTTGTTCTTCTTTTCCTATCATAAGATCATTTATTAGAGCTTGTTCTGTTTTCTTAATGTGCAAATTTATCACTATAAATTTTCTTCTTAAGACAGATTTCATTGTATGCCACAGGTTTTGGTGAGTTGTATCTGCATTTTTGTTTGATGGTAAATATTTTTTAATTGCTTCTTTAACTTCATCTGTGATCCATTGGCTGTTTGGGAAGTTGTTGTTTGATTTCCATGTGTTTATGGTGGGGTTTTTTTTGTTTCTTTTGTCAATAATTTTCAGTTTTATCGCACTGTGATCAGATAGTATGCGTGGGATAATTTCAATTCCTTTGCATTTATTTAAGCATGCTGTGTGCAGTAGCATATGGTCTATTTTGTAGAATGTTTCATGTGCAGCTGAAAAGAATGTGTATCCTGTTGTTGCTGGGTGAAACACTCTGTGAAGGTCTACTACGTCCATTTCTTCAAAAGTTGGGTTTAGTTCTGTTATTTCTTTACTGATTTTTTGCCTAGTTGATCTATCTCTTTGTGACAGTAGCCTGTTAAAGTTCTCCATTATAATTCTATTATTGCATATTTGATCTTTCATATCTGTTAAAATTTGTCCTATGTAGGTGGGTGCTCCTACATGAGTACATATATAATTGTTATGCCTTCCTCTTTCAGTTTTCCCTCAAAAGTATGTAGTGATCTTCTTCATCTCTTTGAATGATTTTTGTTTGAAGTTGATATTGTCAGCAAACAGAATAGCTTCCTCTACTTTTTCTAGTTTCATGTGGCATGGAAAACTGTTTTTCCATCCTTTTACTTTCAGTCTGTGAATTTCCTTTTGAATTAAATATGTCTCTTGTATGTAGCATATTGTTGGATTTTGCTTTTTTAAATGTATTTAGTACAGGGTCTCACTGCATACTTTGAACTTGTAGTGATTCTCCTGTTTTCAGCCTCCCAAGCACTGTGATTACAGGTGCATGCCACCATGCCCAGTCTCAATCACCACCTCAGTGCACCCTGGGGCCAAGGCCAGCACAGCAAGCCAAGGATTCAACCTTAGCCACTGTGCTCTGCCTAAGCAGATGCTTTAGTCATTGAGCTATCTGGCCAGACCCAGATTTTGCTTCTTAATCCACACTGCTAGTCTTGTTTCTTTTGATTGGTGAATTGAGGCCATTTACTTTGCTATAACTGATATGTATTGGCTTATCTTTGTCATGTTCCTGCTATAGGCTTTGTACTTTTTCCCCTCTTTGTAATTATTTGCTATGTTTGGTGGTTTCTTTCTGTTATTGTTCTTGAAGCTGTGGTTGTTTCTGTTTCTTTCCAGAGTATCTGTCAGTACTCTTTGTAGGGTTGGTTTGGTGGTTGTGAATTTAATTGTTCTTTGTTATAGACAGACCTTATCTCTCCAATGAATTTAATAGATAGTTTTGCAGTGTACATTAATATGGGTTGAAAGTTGTTTCTTGAAGAACCAGAAATACTTCAATCCAAGGTCCTCTTTATTTGGTGATTTGTGTCAAGAAGTCTGCTGTGATTCTGATGGATTTTCCATTATAAGTGATCTATTTCTTCTAACAGCTTTTAATACGTTATTCTTTTGCTGAATTTCTGAGATCTTGATTATTATGTGTCTAGGTGTAGATTTATTTTGATTATGACTATTTGGAGTTCTACATGCCTCACTTACTGTATGTCAGATCCTTTTCCTATACTTGGAAATTTTTCTGTAATTACTGCTTCAAATAGTTTTTTTTAATGTCATTTGTGTGGCCTCTTGCTGTTTCATTGACAACTATCATTCTTATATTAGTTTTCTTTGCATTGTCTTGTAGCTACTGAATTATTATTTCCTCGTTCCTTGTTAGTTTTTACTTTTTTTCATTTTTTATGTATTTACAACAGGGTCTCACTATGCAGCTCAGACTCAGTGATTCTCCTGCTTTCAGCCTCCCCAGCCCTGGGATGACAGGCATGTATGACCAAACCTGGACTCCTTCTCTGGCTCAGTGCACCCACCCCAGGGACAGGGCCAGCATGGCATGTGGGACCAGGGATCTAACCCTGGTCCCTGTGCTTGCCTAAGCAAGCACTTAGTCTGTTGAGCTATCTTGCTGGCACTCCCTTGTTAGTTTTAAGAGATCTTTCCTTTCAGGTTCATTAGCTATACCACTGTCTCTGTGGTCTGAAAGTCTGTCTTCAGTTTCATTCAAGTGGTTTTGCTGGCTTTCAATGGAATTTTTAATTTCCTAGATAGTTGTTTGAATCTGTTTTATGCATTCTACTTCTTTCCTGTATTGTTCATTTGGTGTATCCATCATTGTGGAGGACCACCTAAGCAACTCTCCTTGAAACAGTGACTGTCTCTATTTTGACTGAGCCTGACCCTATTTCCTCATATTGTTATGTTCAGAGCTGGCTAGGATTTCATTTTATCCTTCAATTGACCTTAAGCAATGTATATTGGTCTAGCTGAGGTGCTGGTGATAGCCTTTAAAGGTGGTGTGCATGTTTCCCTGGTAACCTATACCTGCTTCTCTTTAATGTGAGCTGGGTCAAGCCAGGACAAAGAGCCAATGCTCCACGCTGCCAGCTGGGATCGAGCATCAAGACAGAGGCTATGACTTCCTGGGGCTTGAAAGACTACATCAAAGCTGAAGCACCAGACACCCCAAAACATTAGATACTATCTCTATAGCATAAAACAAATTACTTTCTCTACATATCCTCTCTGCATATGGCAGAGGTAAATGTAGGCAACCCACCTAGTGGGTGATTATAGCTAATATGCCAGGATGTGGCATATTAACTATATGCCAGAATATAGCTCACGATAGTCACCTACTTCCTATAATTCTCAGTCCATCCCCCTTAAGCCACTTCACTGAATAAAAATCAGGTCAGGCCCTGGGTCGCATTCTTGGTTCTGGAAAGCCACCTTTGTGGCTAGACTTAGAGCCCCTTGACTCCCCAGTGATTGAAAATATAATTTAGTGTCTTTATTTTTGCCATGGGTTGCATTGAAAGTGGTAGATTGGAATTAACTTGATGGAATTGCAATAACATAACTTTGGTATTACAAATATTGCCTTTTTGGACCAAGATGAGGACCCGGCAGTGACTCCTACATATCATTTTTCTATTCTCCTTTATTTTTTTAATCTATATCTTCTTTAGCTGTGCTGAGAAATTCTTTCATGATTGTTCTCATTTATTTTTTGACCTGGGTGATTATTCCTGATCTTATTTCTTCTATAGCCTGATAGACCTTTTTCTTTACTTCAGTTGCTATCATTTCAGAAATTTCAGGTGTGTGACTTCTAAGTTCTTGTATATCTTTGTCTCTTGGATTTGTTCTGGGTGGGCTGGAGGATCGAGATTGCCTTTTGCTCCTGTGTTTTGGCATTTTTGAAGCTCTCAATAATCACCCAGACTTGGGCTGGGGAGATGGCTCAGTAGAATAAGCGCTTGCCTGGCAAGCACAAGGGCCTGAGTACAATCCCCAGTTCTGCCAAAAATAATAATAATAATAATAATAATAATAATAATCACCCAGACTTAACACTGGTGTAAGAGAGGTGGATCACTAAGGTTTCCACTACAGTGGAGAGCAGTGTAGGACTCACCAAGGCTCTTACTACTAGTGGGGGCAACTAGCTGATACTAACCAAAACTTTAAAGTAGGAGGCAGGTATGGGCTGGATTCCACAAAATCCCACAGGCTGCCCAGAATCCTCCTAAGTTCTAAAAAGGTTGGACCAGTGTCAGCACATGCTCCACATCTGTGCACCGGGGACCAAGGGTCAAGTTACCAGAGTCCCTCAGGCTACTCAGAGTCCTCCTAAGTTCTTAAATTGTTGTACCAGGTACTCTGAAAGCTCCTCACCTATGCATACTGGGCCTACATGTCGCAGCTCACCAGAGTCCCACAGGCCATCCAGAGTCCTCCAAAGTTCTTAAATGGTTGTACCAGGCATCAGAAAAGCTCAGCGACTGTGCATTCTGTGCCCATGGATCACAGCTCAGCAGTCTAATTGATTGATTTTTGGTACCAGAAATCAAACTCAGGAGTCACACTTGTCAGGCAGGTATTGTACCACTGACTATACCCCCTGGCCCCCAAGGGACTTTAAAAAGTATTATATTGATTATATTTTTTATATCATATTCCCCCTAAATGCTGCAGAATATTATGATTTTTCATATAAAAGGCATCATTGTGTTCACAACATTTTGAAGCAATGAAAGCATAGATGTTCTTAGGAGGACTTCCTAAATGACAAAGAAATCTATCATGTCCTGAATTCAAACTGGAAGTGTATGAATGAGCGATAGTCATATCTTGGCATATTAGCTATAATCACTGCCACCTATGGCTCATTTCCCACAGCAAAGCACAAATCTAAAACACATCCTTGCTCTTTATACTACTGCTTTTCTTGATAACATCTTACTGTTTACTACCAGTTACATTTTCCTTTGGGTAAAAACACTAATTAAATAATCAGAACACTTTCCATAGCCCACTATTTTGGGGATATATTCTTGGAAAATAAATCTACAGAGAACTTCAACCTAAGATGTCACCCAGAGTAAATTATTTCAAAATTTCATCAACCAGGTATCTATAGTGTCTTCACCAACATAAGACCATCAGGACAGATGTTTGGGAGAAGGAAACCTGATAGCCCTTAGTGTAGTCAAAATAGCAGCAGCTAACCCAGGAGAGAATTCAGCTACTATATATATCTAAAATCCTGTTTGAAATTTCCCTCTGTCACTGAGTATGGTGTGGTACATCTGTGATCTCAGCTACAAGGGAAAATGAGACAGGAGGAGGGCAAGTTCAAGGGCACCCTGGACAACTTCATGAAACTCTATGTCAAAATAAAACACAAAGGGGGCTGAAGAGGTATCTCAGTGTGATGATCTGAGTTTAATCCCCAGTACTGAAAAAATATTTTTTCTTTTCTTCTATAGTACTACAAAAAAAAACCCTCTGAAAAATTTTTGAACAGTAAATATTTGCTCTAAGTGGAACCTTAAATCCCTTCTAGCAAAATAGGCTGTGTAGAGTACATATAAGAATAAAAAAACTTCTAGTATGGGTGCATATCTGTAATCCCAGAACTTGAAGACTAACAGCAGGAGGATTGCGAGCTCCAGGCCAGCCTGGGCCATGTGGCAAGAGTCTGACTCAATGAATAAATAAAAAAAATAGTCCTTGATATTAGAATTATCATGAGTATAGCTTGTAAAGATTTTTTAAATTAATAACTAAATTGACTCAGTAATGAACTGTCACATATTTTCAGGTGTTGTATAGGTATCTCTGGAACGAACAGCATTTATACATGTCAAGGAGGTAGCTGCATAACTAGAAGATGCAGAATTGATCCTACTACAAAACTGTATGAAAAAGGCTGTCAGTTCTTCCCCAATAAAGTTCAAACAGAAAAGGCTTCCATAATGTTTATGCAAAGTATTGATTCTGTAAGTACGCCAATCTTTGGTTCCAGAATATATAATCAACAGCCATATTATCATGTTTTAACATATTTATTTAGATAATCTAAAAAATTAAAAATATTAGTATTAATAATGAAAGAATTTTAATATTGGCCAATAGTAAGAAGTCAGTATAGCTATTATTATCATTATCAGTAATATTGAAAATGTGCCTTACTATACTATCAATTGAATAATTTGATCATATTTTATTCATTAAACAATAAAATTGCATAACAAATTGTTATTCATTCAGGTTTATAGTCAGATTTTAAATGGATAAAGTATATTTAAAAATCTATTTATCAAATTGACTTCTATTCTAGGTTGTTAAATTTTGTAATGAAACAACCCATAACCAAGAAGCTCCAACTCTACAAAACCTAAAGTGCAATTTCAGGAGCACATGGGAGGTAATCAGAGAGTCCGAGGATTTTAAAAGTACCACACCTATGATGACACCACCTCCTTTGCCTACTTTCTCATTGTTGAAAATCAGTGAAAGAACTGTGTGCTTGGTTCTTGATAAGTCTGAAAACATGAAGGTAAATTTCATGGGCTTGAATAGTTAAGAACCCACAGCTCTACCTGAACCTGGAGTGTTCTAAATTACACCACAATAGGGAAAGATCTCAAGCGGGGCAGTTGAATATTTATTGAAAGAAAGACATCAACGAAGTTAAATCAACTTAATTGAGATGTCATTTTTTCCAGAAAATGGAGGGCTAACTGTAATGACTTTTGGACCTTTAGTAAGGCTCATATTGGAGGATCAGAACTATAGATTAAAATATGAACATATTTCCTAACTTTGCCCTATTCACCTACTATTTGACAAGCATAAAAACAGAGTATACTGGGGACTGCTAAACCCTATATTCCAGGTCAAAGAATGGAACCAAACAGGACTCTCAGTGCAGCTTTACCCTATGTGTATGACCTACACAAATGATTTATTGTTGTCAGAGATATGTGAAAAGCATCAGCTTGAAGAAGAAAAGGCCAGATGCAACTAATACTTTTTTCTCTTAAATTTAATGAGTAGAAGGCATTTTTGCTCGTTTGTGGGAATAGGTAGGGTTTTGTGTGTTTGGGGAATACATATATTCGTCATTTAATGACCTTTCTGTTTAACAACCATTCAGACTTACAGCACAGGTGCATTTGGATGTAAGCTATGGGAATGAGTGTCCCTGGAGCTTTACTGTGGCTTCTTCTACAGTATAATCCTATACTTTTGCTGACTGTATGGCACAGTACAGTGCTATAATTTTATGTTCTGTAATACATTATAGTACTACATAAAATTATGCAAATAAAATTCATCAAGTTGAAGTTTCCTTGTACCATTTCTTTGTTCTAATATTGCAAAGTATATGCTATATACAATTCTTCATTTACTGACCAAGTCACCCAATGACCTAATCACAGGATCTGAACTCAGTATTTAAGAAGAAATATCTGTATAGAACTAAACAGAGAACATTTTCTTGAATGCTTCCTCATTAACTGGCTACCTAAGCCCCATCCTTCAAAATTTGGTAAAATTACCTATGTCCTCCAGGAGGAGATGAGTTGAGATTCCAGGTTGTGTAAAATCCTTCTGCTGGTCTCTGCTATGACTTATGCCCTCGTGCTATTACTGTACATGCTGTTATTGTACATCATGCCACTTGTAATTGACTGGCTGCTCCTGTAACATGACCTATATCTACTCATCTTTGCATCCTCATTATCTAGAATAGATTATATATGTCTATTCCTACCAGATTGAGGGAGTCTCTTGAAGTTGAAATTTTGATGCATATTTGAATTCCAATGACCTAGACCAGTGTTCCTCACATAGAGACTATCAATAAATAATTACTGAAATAAATAGACCAAAACCAAGCAGATGCAATTTAATAAAGCATCCAGAGTGATGGCACATTTGAGAAAGAACAGAACATTCTGGGAGCCAAAAAATAAATTCTTAAAAAAAAAAAATAAAATAAAATAAAAATAAATTCTTAAGCAAATGGAAGAGGTTACAAGGTTATAATTATTTACAGCCAAGAATAGAATCTCTTAAGATTCACCTCCAAGTCTGGAAAGTTTCTGCTCCCTAGGGTATGGAACAGTCTAGATTTATTCTGTGGGTTCTAGGGTAATTTCATCTTGAGCCAACTGGAACAAATATTGTAAAGAGTGATCATAGAGTCTCTAAGATGCCAATTGTCACTCCTCAATCTCAATGTACTCCTCCCTCTATTCCTATTACTAATGTGGATACTTCACAACCAAGAGTCATCTCTAGTAAAGGCATGAGCTCCTTGCTAAGTTATGTGTTCCATAGTACATTGCTTCTTTTAATAAGACCAATTACTGTTTACACAAAAGTCTTGCCATACTTTATGTGATCTGCTGTTACCCTTCACTCAAAACTATTTAGTTTGTTTTCCTGTGATTCACCATTTAGGATTTTAACCGGTTACATCGAATGAACCAAGCAGCTAAAACTTTGCTGCTTCAAACTATTGAAAATGGATCCTGGGTGGGCATAGTTGAATATGATAGTACTGCCCACATCAAAAGTAAGCTAGTCCAAATTATAAGCTACAATGAAAGAAGAAAACTCATAGAGAGCTTACCTAGCGAAGCTTCAGGAGGAATTTCTATCTGCTCTGGAGTTGAATCTGCTCTTCAGGTAAAAATGGTTCTGCAAAAACATAGCTTACCTTTCTTAATTTTTAGGGATATTTCTATGTTAATTACTACTGCATATACTTTCTGATGTTTAAACATTTTTAAAAACATAGGGACAAGTACATATCTTTTATTTTCTCTATTTTTTTTTCTAACTCATCAGTCCATTCCATCTAGGAACAACTAATAGTTAATGTCCTGAATTTTGTTTGCAGGTAATTAGGGAAACACACCATCAAACAGAGGGATCTGAAATAATACTGGTAACTTCTGGGGAGGATATAAGAGCAAGCTCTTGCATGGAAAGAGTGAAACAAAGTGGGGCCATCATTCATTCTATTGCTGTGGGGCCATCTGCTGATACCATCATAAGCGAGATGAGCAGTATAACAGGTAAATTATGGCCTATATATTCTAGTCCTTTCATGACAGTTCATAAATATAGAGCCTGACAAATTCCCTTCAGCTCATCCTGTGCAGGCCCTCTTCATTTTCATAGTACTCAGAGTCCCACAAGCCGAAAAAGCAAATAAAATTGCTAATCACATAATAAAATAGTGAAATCAAATCCCTTCACAAGAGGAACACTGTATATGAGGAAAAAAAGTCAGCAGAAGTCATCGATTTTCCCATGGCTGCATAGAATAGGGAAAGAAGGCAACCTATGACATGACCTCTAAGGTGGGACTTGAAGGTCCAAATTTCTTTTAAGAAAAGGGTGAGAGAAAATCATGAAGTGGAAACAACTATGCTACAGTGACAGTTCAAGGCATGGAGAGGAAATGGTATTCCTATGAAGCCACAACACAGATTCCCATCCATGAGACCACAGAACAGGCCCACTGATGGCTAAACTTTTAGAGTGTTCAATGATAATGAACAGTCCACCACCATTTAGTTAGTGGTATCCTACCATCACTGGATAAGGTAGGATATGACTAAGAAAAGCTCAGGCTGAAAATATCTAAATAACAATGACATTTCCAGGTAAACATTAACCATGAGAACTGTTTTGCTTTTAGATTCAGAAGCATGTTTCTAAACATGATTTTAGAAATCCAAAATTTATAATGTATCAATTTTTGCATTAAGTTGGCTTCTAAATACACCAAATATATAATTGTTTTATAAATGCTTATTTCTATAAACTTCCTTTTCTTTTCTTTTTTTCTTTTTTTGTATTTAGCACAGGATCTCACTACAGACATTAGACTTGTTGTGATTCTCCTGTCTTCAGCCTCCCAAGTGCTAAGATTACAGGCGCGCACCACCACACCCAGTTTCAATCGCCCTCTCACTGCACCCCAGGGGCAGAGCCAGCTCGGCTGCCTCGGACTGAACCCTGGTCCCTGAATCTTCCAAAGCAGCCGCTTTAGTCCACTGAGCTACCTGGCCGGCCCTTACACTTCCGGGTTTTTTCCAAAATGTTTTTAGGATCACTTTAAAATTTATTTCTCTTAGGCAAGCACAGGGACCAGGATTCAATCCCAACACCACATGCCACACAGGCCCTGCCCCTACATGTGCTGAGCTAGCCATCAAGAACAGGTGTGGTGGTACACAACTGTAATCCCAGCACCGGGGAGGCTGAAAACAGTAAAGTCTCTGCGTCTGAGCTGTGTAGTGAGACCCTGCATAAAATACATTAAATAAATAAATATATATATATAAAATGTATTTCTGGCTCAAGTGGTCCAACAAAATTAGTAAATTTTGCTGTGTCTCTCTGCCGTTTACCATTTTGCTATTTCCTCAGTAGTGCCAGGTACTCTCCAGATAGTTAAATATAGCAGCTCTCTATTTTTTTTTTAAATTCGCTGATTCTGATCTTAACTGGAAAATCTGAAAGTCAATACTATTGGTATTGTAACTTAAATGGAAGGGAATAGTCCTCCTAAAGGACTGCATAAAGATTCAAGCTTTAGTATGTGGAATTGTAACATCTTTTTAGAATTCTGTGATTATTCGATGTATTTCAGCTGACTGAAATTCCCAGATAAGTGAAGTACGAAGGCAACTTCTTATTTATAGCATTTCTGAATTAAAATTGAGTTAATCTGCATATCTGATTTCATATTTTCTATTTTAGTGCCAAAACTGTGGTTTTGTTTATACTGTTAACATAAAAATCATTAAAATGTAATAAATACCTATTTTTGAGAAGGTGACTTTGTTAATGGATTTACATTTTAGGAGGAAATAATTATTATGTTTCGGATCAAGCCTACAAGAACAGCCTCATTGATGTTTTCAGTCCTTCTGGGTTAGGAAATACTGATCTCTCCCAGATGTCCTTTCAGGTCAGAGCTTCGACTCCTTGGGTTTTTTCTATTCTCTTAGCCATAAATAAGAAATAAAATTTGATAGTTATATGCTTTGAGTTCTTTTTTTCCTTTAAATTCTATTTTTATGGATGAATACTTCAGGAATCATCTTCTGAACTTTACCAGATTTTTAAACAATAAAACTGGAGGCTGGGGAGAAGGCTCAGTGGAATAAGCGCTTCCCTGGCAAGCGCAAGGGCCTGAGTTCAATCCCCGGTTCTGGAAAAAAAAAATCAACTAAAAATAATAAAACTGGTAGTAGTAAGGTATAATATGAATTCTGAGACTAGGGCAAACCTCTTAAACTTTTGGTTTCCTTGTTTCTGAAACCATGTGACATTTCTATGTAAAATTCCTGGTGGTGTGTTATAAAGTTTGAAACTTTTGGAACCAAAAAAGGCAAGAAGATTGTGAATTCCTAGTCTACCTATTTACTCTAATGAACTAAAAGAAAATAACACTAACGAATAATACCAATTATTTTTCTTATAGTGGTTGGGGTACAAGATAATAGCAAAGCCTAATAATGTTAGGTTAAACTTTCTAAAGCTAGATTTTTTTCAAAAGATATAACACCTATTATTCTAGAAATTCATTTTAAAAGTCTCATACTTCCAAGTCCTTTCCCTACAACACTATATGACAATTGTGAAATAGATTCAAATAAACTCAAAAACATAGGTTGGAAGTGGAAAAGGTTGAGCAGAAACAAGTTAACAAACATTGCTTATCTGTGTCAATAATTCTTCTCTTTATTGTTTAACCATTTTTCAACCACCTTCTTTCTCATTATAAACCCAACTCCTTTTCTAGATACCTGTGCTTCAACAGCAACATCACTACCTATTACTTAGATTTAAAACTGAGTAAACATTGACTCTGCTCTGATACATGATATGCTCAATATCAGTATAGTTTTCTTCAAAGTATGTTTTCTCACTATATTCACTTCTACTAAGCCTAAGTTACGTCACTTTTATGCCAAGACTTCTGTATGGTACCTTCCAATTCATCAGATCATTGTCTACATTAAAACTTGCCCTGATCACCCAACTAACCAACCTATTTTCTCCCGTTCTTCATCAATGAAAGGAGCAGATGTTTTAAAATACACACTTTAAATATGCACAGGTGTTCCGGAGATATGTTTTTGGGTTTACCCTGAAAACTGTTATAAAAATTGTTCTAGACATCTACCTGGATGTCACTAGAGGTAAAATTGAAAGAATAAAGATGTCATTTCTGAGGTTTCTAGCTTTGATGACTAAGAATGATGATGCTGTCTACAACAGAGAAGAGATAAAACTGATTTTTAAGATATTATTGTAGATACTCTTTTACTTTTAATAAATCTGACTGGCTGATGTGACATTCAAGTGGAATCTTCAGGCGAAGTGAAAAGTTGTAAGTGAAGAATAGGGAAAGTCAGCTAGAAAGGAGACATTTGCATGGAGAAGGTGCTAAATGTTTTGAAAGTAGAATTCTTAAAAGTAGCAAAAGGAACAAGAAGTTCAGTTGCTTCCCTCTGTAATGCTCTCAATTGGCTCTTCAATCAGGAAGTAACAAATTTTTCAAGATTAACTTGGATTTGTATACATAATAAGTAGGATTGGAGAAATACAGTGTCCAAACAGATGTTTGTTATACTAACTTATATAAGTTAAGGAGTATTTTAACATGGATGTTGGAGGTAGACTAGAAAAAGAAGTCTACTTGCCATACTTCTCTGGATTATCTTTCCCTAGTACTACTAGACAGATAAAACCATTTCCTTTATCAAGTTTTCCTGATAGAGGTCTGAAAAAATTATTCGACCAGATTTAATTTGATAACAATATTTTGTCTACTCAAAGACTTCATTGAAGACTGGGATTTTGGTCAAAACAACAACACTTGAATAGTAGAATTCATTCACTTTAGAACTGGTATCAATGTAGGTTTAGAACAGTTGGGGGAAAAAGCAAGGCTTCCCATTGATCCTGAAAAAAACACCATCATCCTAGAAAGTATCTTCTTTGTTAATGAATAGTTAGCTGCTCATGGCTAAGAATTATATGCAAAGATTTTGAAAATCTCTTCCTTGAAAAAGAAATTTTTAAAGAAATGACATTAAAGTAAGATTATTAGAGAAGAGGAAGGGGACCAGGAGGTGAGACAAGCAAAGAAAGGGGGTAGTGAGGAGGTGAAAAATCATCGAAGTGTGCTATATGTATCTACATATGGAACCCACTGCTTTATGTTATCAATGTGCATATTTTAGAAAAAAAAAACACTTTGATGTTTCTCCCAGAGAAAGATACTATTTCTACTTCCTTTGCTTCTACAGATTCCAACTTTCATATTCATCACTTTGCCATATTTGTCTTTAAGTATGTCTATAGTTAATTCTTTTCTATAGGTGCAGCACCCTTTAATGCTAAAGCTTTGAGTGGGTGTTTGCCAACATGACTGTGAAATAATAGTAGATTATTAAGTGTAAAATCTATTCCTCTGATCTAAGACCTTATTTTTATTTCACTCTCCTGTATTTAAGCCCAGTGTTTCTGAACTGTGTGACAATTATCAAGTCTTAAACAATTTTCAGAGATCACAGGCCTATGGTGGTATGCCACATATAAACTTGCTCTCAGGTCAGATATTAAGAAAAATCTTTAAAAGAAAAAAAGAATGAAATTATTTCCTTCCGCAGTCATTAATTTTTAAAATATATATAAACAGCTTGAAAGTAAGAGATTAAATCTGACCAAGGATCCCTGGATGAATGGCACTGTGATAATTGATAGCACCGTGGGAAAGGACACCATCTTTCTCATCACATGGGACAAACAGCCTCCCAGCATTTCTTTCTGGGATCCCAGTGGAAAACTGGTAGGAGGTCTCGCAGAGGACACTGCTTCCAGAATAGCCTATCTCAGTATTCCAGGAACAGCACAGGTAAGCAATCAGCTTCTAGATATTTGGAAAAAAATTCAGAGCATAAGTTGTTTAATGGCATAAATACAATTTTTAAATGCCTGGGTGCCATGAATTGTACCATGCTCAAAACTGCGGCAAAATAGGATGTTCTTTTTATTTATATGTTATCCTAATGATTTGATGGGAGGCAAAAGGAAATAATAAAATGAGAGAAATGGGTAAATCAAAGGTTAACCAAGAAGAACATTGAAGAATAAAACTGGGGAGAATCTTTTGAACATGGTATACATCCAGCTATAATATCTGTCTTTTTTCAATTTTGTTTTGTATTGTTGAGACAAGATCTCACTATGCAATGCAAGCTAGATCTAAATTCACTTATATAGCCCAGGTTGGCCTCAAACTCACAGCACTCTTCCTGCCTCAGCCTTCCGAGTGCTGGGATTACAGGAGTGTGCCACCACACCCAAATGTTCAGTTTTTTTAATTTTTAATTTTTGTTGGGACATATTTAGAGAACATAATGACTAGACTCCTCATGAGGAGTTAGTATATGCACATAACACATTTTAACTCATTTTTATTTCCTTCCCCTTCTTTCTCTCTCCCTCCCTCCATTTCTTAATCCCCTTCCCTTTTGCAAAGATCTGTCTCCCTGTTTCCTATTTTGTCTTTTATTTGGCTCTTTATGTTTTAAAACAATTAACCTCAACTATAATTATACAATAGTAGACTGTGAGGCCAAAGAACAAAGATCTCAATCAAGGTCACCTTCAAACAGCTATTTCTCACCATAAATTTCTACATGACAATGTAAGACACTGCTTGAGGTTCTGTGATCAAATTGCCTCACCATACAATCCCTCAAAAGTCTATTTGTTCTACAAATACTTCATGAGTTTCTTTACCTGTGCTATCATGGCTTCTTTGATGTCCTTAATCAATTCAAAACATATACTTTTCATGGTTATTTTGACTTTGGGGAAAAGTGACAAGTTCTACTGTACCAGATCTAGTAAATAAAGAGGATGTGGTCTCACCATCATGTCTTTAGCAGCATTGATGGTTTTTATAATACTTCATAAAGATACTAACAGAAGATAGCTTCTAGAACAGTTTGAGAAAGCAGAAAACAATGGAATGTTTTCAAAACAAGGAGTATCTTGAGAGGCATCAATGACAATATGTCCTTTACTGTGACAATTTCTTTTTACTGTAATTTCCTATTTTACTGTCCTTTACTTTTTACAATTTCTTTTTTACCCTTATATGATTCATTTTTTAAAATGCATAACAAAAGCACAGAAAATAGCTTGGCAATAAACATTTAATGTTTCCACTGGACATTTTAGGTGGGCACTTGGACTTACAGTCTTCAAGCCAAAGAAAATCCGGAAACATTAACTATTACAGTAACTTCTCGGGCAGCCAATTCTTCTGTGCCTCCGATCACAGTGAGTGCTAAAATGAATAAAGACACAAACAGCTTCCCCAGTCCCATGATTGTGTATGCAGAAGTTCGACAAGGGTATGTGCCCATTCTTGGAGTCAGTGTGACTGCTGTCATTGAATCAAGCAGCAGAAATGCAGACGTTTTGGAACTGTTGGACAATGGTGCAGGTATTCACAGGCTTTTATAAATAAATCTCCATTTCCATAACTCAGAGTATGTTATAGGTCCCAAAAACAATAAGCAGCAGAAAGAGAGGCACCCAGCAAATTAGGGCAGATTATGGATGAATATAACAATCATCAGAAAATGGTATCAGGTACAGTAAAATATACAAAGTGCTAAGCAAGTGTCTTGCACAGACTAAGAACTGAATAAATATTATTATCACCACCTTGATAGCCAATGTCTATTACCAATTAGATATGTCTCACTTAGGAGAGTGAAGAGAGGAGCAAGATTTCTGGGGAAATGCTCCTTTGGTTGGGGAGCGGGGAATCATAGAAAAAATCTGGGCAGAGAGGGTGAAGCACAAGCAACCCGCTGAGGTTTAGTGCTTGAACCTGGATCCCTGGCAGGGAAAGGGAGAGATGCAGTGTAGTTCTAACAGCTGCAGCAAAGTACACATACAATTCTGAAAACTGAGGCCCATGAACAGATAAAACTTCCACAAGTGAGGACTCATGCCTGAAGCATCAGATACCAGAGTTATAATGGATCAGGAAAGAAAATCTGAAGCAGAAACAGACAGACAGAGACAGGAGAGAGACAGAAAAAGAGGCAGACAGAATAAGTCTAAGTAAGTGCTAGGTAATTCACTAGATGACAAATTCTAAGCATTATCTTCAGTAGGAGTCTTTTTACTTGAACTGGAAACTTACATAATTAATATTTTTAGTGAAAGGCCATTCGGTTAGGAAATCAGAATTATATATATAATAAACCACATATAATGTGATAGGGCCAAAAGAGTGAGGTATTTATCACTTATACATAACATATATATGCATATATATGAGATATAGATATATCTGTTGTGTGCAAATTTCATAATGCCTCAAAGATACCAGCATGACAAGATATAATCCTCTGTCAGAGCATAATGGAAACAATCTCTAAGCAGAGGGGACAGTTTGGAGATATCAGCCTGTTTGGGTACAGTATATGTATTTTATATGCTTGATTACCAAATGTATACATTTACCTTTTTCCTTTTAATAATAATTTTTTCTTTCATTTCTAAAATAAGGTGCTGATTCTTACAAGAATGATGGCATCTACTCCAGGTACTTTACAACTTATAAAAAAAATGGGATATACAGATTAAAAGTACAGGCTTATGGAGGAAGAAACACTGCCATGAGAAGCTTAAGATATCCCGTGAATACAGCCAAACATGTATCAGGCCGCATAGTAGATGGTGAGTTATTCATGACATCAGAAGCTTGGAGTGTTGGCTTGAATACTAGTTTTGACTTGATATGATTAATGTTTCAAAGGCTTTGTCGCTCAAACTAAAATTATCCCTAGGGATTCATAGAGGATTGGTACTAGGATCTGCTCATGGATACCAAGATCCATAAATGTTCAAGTTATATAAAATGACATAGTATTTGCATAACCTGTACATATCCTCCTGTATACTACAAATCATCTCTAGATTACATAAAATACTAATACAATGTAACTGTTCTATAAATATTCATTATACTTTAGAGAATAAGGACAAGAAATGAGAATCTATACACATTTAGTACAAAGACTTTTTTAAAAAAAGCAAAGTACTTATGACCATGTTTCATCACATCCTTAGATGCAGAACACACAGGTATGGGAGGACAACTGTGTAGCTTCTCCTATTTCTGTATTGATGATCTCAGTCATATTGCAATTTGCCTCCAAAATACAAGATTAAAAGTAGTATCTAGAATCTAACAAACATTCATATATGTCAACTTATAATTCTGAGTGCCTTACCTAGATGAACAAAAATGAACAAGCACAAAGAAGTGACAGAATTTATCCTTCAGATTGTGTATGCTGTGGAATGTATGTAAATGAATAAATATTTATTTGGAATGTTTTTATTAAGTCAAAAGGAAAACTGTGAATTAAGATAATGAGAGAGAGAGAGAGAGAGAGAGAGAGAGAGAGAGAGAGAGAGAGAAGTTATCCCCATGATGAAGTGCGTCAAGGAAGGTGATAGAGTAGGAAGCAACAGGAGTCCATCTCCCCCCACCTAAGGAACAACAACAACAATACTGGCAGAATTTGCCTCATGCAATTAGTAGGGAGCTCTAGAGTCTATTTGAAGATTTGTAGCTTCCAAGGAATGCTTCTAATGATAATTTCTGAAAAATTGAGATGACCTTCACCTCTTATCCCAGGAGCATCAGCCCATGCCCCCCAGTTTGCTCGTATATGGAGTCATTTGCATAAGCCAAGATGAGCAACTAAACCTTGTCCTCACTACTGACTGATTACTGTTTCTGCATGTGGAGATGCAGAGAAGATCATTTTTATTTTCATCCTCTCCAGTTGAAACAGTTTTCTAAAGTCTTAGACATATTCCTTTTTCTCCTTTAGTTTTCCCTATTTCTGCTTAGGGAATCCAGACAGATACTTAATTAGGACATTCAAAGTAACCAAATGTACAGATAATTTAGAAAGTCACCCACACATGCCTAACAAAAGACAGAGGCTCAGAGAAGACCTGAGAACACCTTCAGCTTACACCTAGGGTTCATCTCTGCAACAGTGATTTATTTCAAACAGAAAACTCTGACGAAAGGTAAATCTGACTTTCAGTGTTACCATACAAGTCCCAAATGTCTAGTTTTCAACAACAAAAATCACAAGGCACACAAATAAACAGGAAAAAGTGGCCCATCCAAAAGAGAAAATAAATTGGTAGGCATTGTCTCTGAGGAAGATCAGATGACAGATTTATTAGACTCTAACACAAGCGTTAAAAGGATCAAGATGTAAGCAAAGTTAAGAAAACAAAGTGGCAGTGTCAAGTTAGAAAACATAATGAGGAAATCTAAATATAAAAATTGATGTCCAAAGTTAAAAATTCACTACAGAGATTTAAGTCAGAAGGAAAAAACAGAGAATTAGAAAATATGACACTTAAAATTATTTTATCTGAGGAAAGGGGAACATTTGAAGAAAAGTAATGAGTCTAAAAAAACCTGTGGGATAAGTCCAGTGGATCATTATGCAGATAGCACCAGACAGTCCTAAAAGACAAAGAGAGAAAAGCCAGTAAGGAGAATATTTAAAGAAACAATGACTGAAAACTTCCCAAATCTAATGCAAGACATGAATATACAATCCAAGCAGGATAAATTGGAAGTAACAGGCTGAGACACACGGTCAAACTAATAACAAATAAGAACAAAATTGAAATTTGCATATAAATAACAATGTGGGAGCTCATTATCAGTAGATTATCTGTCCTTAATAAATACAACAGGAAATGAGTCAGGTCAAAACGGAAATTCACCAGAGCTGAGGATGTGGCTACACGGGGACTTCAATTCCACATGTAAATAACAAACAGGAAAAAGATAAGGAAACAGAGGACCTTAACAATATGATAAACCAAATAAACCTGACAGACAGATACAAACAAAACACCAAAAAATGAAAAGCAAAACACAATATGAAACTTAGGAGAGCCGGGCATGATGGTGCATGCCTGTAATCATAGCACTTGGGAAGCTCAGGCAGGAGGATTGTTGGAAGTTTGAGACCAGCCAAGGCTAGAAAGTGAGCTCAAGGCCACCCTGAACTGCATAGCAAGAATCTGTCTCAAAAAGACAAAAAATAAAAAATTTCAAGAGTACAGTGTCCTGCACAGAATTAGAGAAAATAATCTTAAAATTCATATATGCTATAAATCCTGGGCTAAGAGGCTAAGAGGGAAAATTTATAGGTCTATGCTAACATTAAGAAAAGGACTCAGCATGCCATGCCAACCCTGCCTCTGCCCCTAGGGCATGCTGAGAGGGTTACTGAAACTTGGTATGGTGGTGCATGCCTGTAATCCCAGCTCTTGGGAGGCTGAAAACAGGAGAATCACTATGAGTCCAATCTATGTAGTGAGATCCTGTACCAAATACATTTAGAAACACAGAAAGAAGGAAGGAAGGAAGGAAGGAAGGAAGGAAGGAAGGAAGGAAGGAAGGAAG